TGACCACACAAGGTCGGGATCTGGGGTTTATATCTTGTCTGAAAGGCAAAACTCCTAGTGAGATTTTTTTAAAAGAAGTTTATATTTGATGATGTTTGATACCAAAAATAAACTCTCAGAGGATCATAATGTTTGATACGTGATGATTTCTGACACTGTTTTCCAAATAATAACGGAAAGACTCATCTGGCTGAAGTTTCCAGGCTTTGTTTTACAAAAGTCTTATTCTTTGGGTTATCTGAATGTTTAACTTAGGAGGACAATTATGAATTGCTCTCGTCTGGACTGCAGCAAAAAAAAAAAAAAAAAAAATCAAACAAAAATATCGTAACGGGTTTTGTAGGCCATTTCAAAAATATAACGCAAGATATTGACAATTTTTCTTGTGGGAGGCCGGAAAAAAAAAAAAAAAAAAAATTCACACAGAATTACTGTACAGGTTTTGATATGGCTATTAAGAAAAAGCGTTGTCCTTTCACAACAGCTGATACAAGGCTGGGCTGTACTAATGAGAAGCCCCTCAGTCTGAACGATGAGGTCTCGCTATAGTCTTGGCTGAGCAAGCCCTTTCTTGGTTGTGATAGTCCGTTTGCTCCCTGGGCAATCACTCAGCTCCTTCCTCTTGGCAATGTCAGACTCTGAGAGAAGAACCAGCACCGAGTCCCATTTATCGGTGCTTCTTTCTAATGAAACCTACTTAAAAACGCCTGGAAAATGGTGAAGGATCAAGTGTCCCCACCACCACGCACCGCTCCCCATCCGAGAGACCTTTCCTCCTTCGCAGAGGGCAATGCCTGGCTCTTGCTCGCTCCCTCGCTGGCCTCGCTGCGGCGGCTGGGAGCTTGGAGGGGTCAGTTGGTCCCAGATGAAGCTGAGGTTTTCTGATTTAGTTGCCTGACCATCAGAAACTGGACGGCAGCCCTGAATTCTTTTCTCGCAAGTCACTTGGACAGGCACCAGATGGTAAATACTTTCAGTCTCTCCCAGCCCGGGTCTGGGGTGGAAGCAGTGACCTGAAGGTAAAAGATTGCCTGGCCTGTCCCTCGTCCCTTGGGGTGGCCAGGCCTCCCAGCCCAGCACCGGTCGCCAGTTAAGGTGCGAGAACCAGAGGGAATAAAAATGGCCAGACGGGGATGGAAGTGGCCATCACCACCTCTCTCAGCTGTTTGAAACTGGAGCTGGACTCATTCTGGGTAGGAAACAACTTTCCCATCCTGCCAAAAACAAAGGTATTTCACAGTTTCCCAAAGCTGGGATGTTTCCAGAAGTCTCATGAAAAACAGCCAGCAGCCACCCTCAAGTGTCCAACAGCTCAGGGAGACCTGAGATGTCTCCTTTGCATCTCAGGGCGTTTGGCTTTTCCAAGCTGGGGGTTTGTCCAGCTTTCCCACCAGTGCTGTCCACCCTCCGTGGACAACCCTGCTCCCCTGCAGCAAGGATTTGGGCCAGGAGTGCCCAGAAGCAAAGGCAATGTCCTCCCCACCAAGGTGTGGAGCTGGTCTCGCCCTAGACCCATGATTTCACTGTTGATATGAAGCAGGACAAACCCAGCAAGGACCCAGGACAGCCTAGGTGCTTCTCGGCAGAGATGGATGGCCAGACACTGGTCTGACTTCAGCCAGCTCTAGGGAGGGTGTTGAACACATGGTGTAGAGCAAAGAAGGGGAGAGTCTTGAGCAAAGGAAAGGGATGGAAGGAGATTATGGTCTATATCCATCACAGATGGATGCAATTTCAGCTGAGCAGGGTGCACAAATGAGAGCTTTGCAGTGTTATTCATGATGGCACGTTAAATGGCACAGATATGAAAAAAACCAGCTGCCTAAAATGTAAATTCACTGGGTCAGCTCCTTCATTTCTATAGAAACAGCAGAGCTTGCCAGCGGCTAACTCAAAGGAGATGTATTCAGATCCCTGTATCAACTATTTTCTTGCACAACTGACCACAAAAAAAAAAAAATGACAACCCCAAAAAATCCTGACAGTAATACCATGGAAACTGCGGAGCACAGCATATGGACTTAATTACCAGCTATGAAATCACACGTATGGTACAGAACACATACGGGGTACATGCTCCAGAGGGGAAGGGTTATAGCTGAGTGCTTATAAAACAAACTGCTAATGTGATGCTCTTGGGCGGCTTCGCAAATCAAAACCTGCACGAGGGCTGCATCACTCTGCCGGGCCCTGCCTGCAGCCCCTGGCCCCCAGCACAGCGACCTGGGTGGGCATGTGGGACCCCAAGAGCCGGGAGAAGGGAAGCTCAAGCCCACGTCACCCACAGAAAGGCCTCCTTGTGAAGGCAGAGTCGCGGTTGACTTTGTGGGTACCCCTCCAGCCGGCTCCTCCGGGCACCCCCAAAACGCAGCAGGGTACCACCAGGGATTGCCGATGCCATCGGCAGCTGGCCGGGTGTGGGGAAGTCGGTTTGGCTCCTGTCCAGCTGCTTGACTCGGTGCTGCGGCTCTGTTGCTGCCTGAGCTCTGCTAGCTTCCTGGTGATGTCATACTATCACAGTGATGTCACCTTACTGCAGCAGAATCTCAGGGACATCAGGTGTGGGGGGAAAGCAATGTCCCTCTTGCCCCAAGGGAGAGGGTAAGGAAGGGGTCCCCACCCCAAAGAGCCAAACCTGTACCCAGGAGAGGACAGGCAGCAGGGGCAGCCCTGAGCCCCAGGAACTCACACAGCAGGGTGCTGGCTGCTCCAAAGCTGCTCACTGAGGGCAGCGAGAGGTTTTTATTTCCCTTACCAGCACTGTCACCTGATTTCTATCTGGGAAATGAAGTCAAGCCTATTAATCAGGAGTCCCTAATAAATACAAGCCTGGAATAATTAATTGAACTCCCCATCCCCCCACGGCAAGGCTGGATCAGTGCTTTGGCTGCTCGAACCGTTGCTGATAGAGGTACCGCAGCCGCCTCTGGGACGTCTGGCTGAGCCGTGGCATCTGAAACATGGCAGCTGGCGGGAGGGCATCAGCTCCGGGGAGCGGAGGAGAACATGGCAGCACGAGATGTGCCTCCAGCCTTTGGCATCCAACCTTCTGGCTTGTGAGCACCCATCAGTAGGGCCTGAACACCCCTGCTAGCGAGGACGGAGCAGCGCGCGGTCCTCACGCCTCCCCTGCGATGGGCAGAGCTGCCTCCGGGCAGGGCTTGGGTGATGCAGGGAGCTGGGGCTCCTCCAGGAGGAGGGGAGACTCCAGCGCTGGGATAAGCGACGGCAGCCTTTGGAAGGTGGCCTGGTATTTCCACGAGCTGCCGTGACCTCATTAACAGACTGATTGCAGCTAATGAAGCAAAACCAAAGCGGAGAATTGGGGTGGTAAAGGGAAAACTCTTTGTGCGCCTCCCTGCCGGGCTCTGCCCTCCCTGCTCTGTGCCCTGGCTTCCAGGCCATGGCAAGCGGCGGAGCCGAGGTCGGGATTGCTGCTCAGGTGACTGAGGACTTCTTTTGCAAAAGCAAAAGGAAGGCAAAAAAGTTGGAGGGAGGGATGGTGCATCACTCCTAGTTGCATAAGTTCAGTGCTCTACTCATACAGCACCCAGCTCCTCCTGTGTGTTTCCCAACATATATCATATGACGTATAGCAGCAGTTCTCATCATGCCTGCAAAACACGGAGAGTCTGTGCACGGCTGCCAGGATCTGTCCCTTGGGCCAGGGCAGCAGCAGCGCTCCCGGCCCCCAGACCGTGTCCTGCAGGCAAGGGGGTACAGGAGCGGGGCCGGGGAGAGCTGCAAGGCACCCCGCATCCTTAGGTGAGCTCAGGCCTTTCCTTCGAGCTCTGGATTCACAAATTCCCCTTCTTCATCTTGTGATAAGATCTGAGGGATGAGGACGTGGAGAAGGGGCTTAGTTTCCTGGAGGTCTTGAGATGTTTAGTTTTTTCTTTCCTAAGAGCCAGGCTCAAGTCCCCAGACACAGTGGCTGCAAGGAAAGCTTGCACAGGGCAGCCTGAAAAGCAGTAAAGCACTGGGGGGCAAATGCTGAGTGCTCACTTCTCTCCCTTGAAATTGGATTTTTAAATTCTCGTAATTGCTTAAGCCGGTCATAATTTTGCAGGAGCTGAATTGGGATTTACAGGGTTTGAAATGAGCAGTGCTGCTGCAAGGGCCAGGCTGCAGCTCTCTCTGCATCACATCCCAGGCCCAGGGCAATGCAACACGATGTGCACCCAGTCCCCCGCCGCAGCCTCCCTGGGCAGCCGCAGCCCCGCACCGGACGGGGGATGCTGTGGCAGCACCGCCACCGCTGCAAATCCCTTTCCTGCTCTGGCTGAGAAACTGAGAAGGGAATCGCAGCTCTGCTGCCTGGGGAGCTTGCCTGGCGAACTGCTGCAGCCTGAGCTGCTGGCAATCAAAAGCAAGTCGCACGCTCTCCCCTGTGATGGAGGGAGAGGATCCTGCCCTTGACTTCAGGGCTCTGCCCGGCGTGGGCAGCTCACCCCGCTCCCACAGCCTGCCGTGAACGGCACTTGGCATAAAATACAGGGGTGGGTGCTCTGTTCCTGCTTGGTCGTGGCAATGTCCCAGGGTGGCAGCAGGGACAGCCCCGCCAACCCTTCAAAACCCAGGAGAAAGACACCGGCTCTGTCTGGGCAGACCTTGATCAGTAGGAAGAGGCACAGACCTTCCCTCCCATTCATGGCTAGCAGCAAGGGGCCGGTGCACCCCACCAGCCTGGCTCCCCAGTCCCGTGCTTCCCGGGGAGAGCATCCCTTCCCTTCACTCGCTGTCTCAGTGGACAGCACGTTCTCACCTTGCGGGGAGTGGAAATGGCAGCTGGAATGTGGGAGGGGAAAAAAAAAGCAAGAAAAAAAAATGTTGAGGCTTGTCCAAACCTACTCATGTTTATATTGGAGCCTGTGAGTGACATCAGAACGGGGAGAGTATAAACAGCAGCGGGACCTACTCGGGGCTTGAAAACCTGCGAACACACCGCTGCCTCCAAACTGCCCGGGGGTGATGTGCTGAAGCACAGAGGAGAGAGTAGCATGAGGCTCCAGCTGGAGAAGCAGCTCTTCTTCCTCTCCCTCCTCTGCATCCTCTCCAAGGTAAGGGGGACGGGGCCCTGGGGCGGCTTTAGCCTCAGTCGGGAAAGCACCCGGTTCTTGCAAAGCGAGATGCAGGGAGGACTGGGGTGTTGCAATGAGCCCGGTGGCTAACGCCGGCCGGCAGACAGGCTGTGTTTGTGCAGTCCCACAGGGGCAGAACTGTGCTTGGGAGAGACATTTGCAATTAAGCAGCAGGGTCTTAATGTCCATGGGCCACAGGCGTCTGTTGTGCAAGCCCATGGCGCACGCAGGAATGGCAGCAATGCACTCTGTTTGCTCGCCCCGTCCCTGCAGCTCTCCCGCGCTGTGGTATGCGTCCCTGCAAGCGAGCGAGCGGCAGCTCGGCGGGAGCGGCCCCCCTCGAGCCCTCTGGGCCCCCCCC